AGGCGACGACATGGTAGACTGGACCGTACCAAGTCTCGGCAAACGCGCACAACGCTTCGCGGGCCACCGCGCGAACAAAGTCTTTGGGATCTTGAATGGCGCCAGTGAGTAGGAGCAGCACATCGTCGCAGTGCTCGGCCAGTTCAGACTTGGGCCATACTCTCACGACCGTCGTCACTTGCTGCACGATGAGGCATCGAGCCTCACCTACCAATGGGGTGACCAGTGCACACACATATATACATACATATCAAGTCACGTACTGGTCCGCGATTGTCGCCACAGGGACACAAGGATCTTCATGTCGTACTTCGACACGGTGGAGATCGTCGTGAGGCAGTCTTTGCCAGCTTGACGAAACACCTGGACTTTGTTAGGCGCAGTGCTCACCAGCGACGGGAGCACGACGTCGGCAAACGGCGCGAAGGCCGTTCCGCTCATCTCGGCAAACTGTGCCACCGCGCCGCACGCCTTCTTCGCCACCTCGGAGCGGTCGGAAGCAATTAGCTTTGTGATGGGTGTCTACAAGAGTCGTGAGGAAGGCAAAGGACGCCGTGGCAACGACATACGGCCACGGGCAAGAGGCAAGAGGCAACGATCGCCTTGGAGTCGACGTCATGAACGGTGTTGTCGACAGTGTCCAGCACGCTCTGCACGCCGGCCAACTCTTGGAGTTGCAGTCTCCAAGACTCGGGCCCTTGCAGCAGAGCGTGGAGCAGTCGATGCGTCTACAGGTGATAACGGGCGTCAGAGGTCGTGACGAGAGGAGTCGTACCTGAGTTTGAAGCTGGTTTAGGAGCACCTCCATAGCACCGAGCTTGAGCTCTTGCAGGAAGTCCGCCGCGGCGTGCTTGGCATGGGTAAACGTGTTCATGTCGATGATGCTGGTCGTTAAGAAATGAGCGGCCCAACGGCTTCTTGAAGTAGTCCATACAAACACCAAGTGAAGTGTCGTGTTCTCTGTGACGCGGCGCACCATATAAACAAACGCCAAGGCATTGACCACATAGGAGCATGCATCCATGTACAAGAGCAATCGATCCTTGCAGTATGAAGTGACGTCAATGCCAACCTAACCCAACTTGAATGCCATACTTGGTTTTATTAAGCAGTCGCGTCCGTCATATCTTGGTTGACACTGAGCACTTTGGCGGCTTGGATCATGTCCTTGTCGCCGCGCAGATCACGCGATGATTTGGGGAATGTTATCCGGAATGCCGGATAAAGTGACGCTTGCCTGGATCCATTCCAAGCAAATGGGCACGACCCGTGGGTATGCGGCCTGGGCATTCATGGGCCTGTGTTACATCATGCACAACCAAGAACGTAATTACTATAGCTGTAAGGAGTCTACTAGTAGTGACTGCACTAGTAGTGACTGCAGGAACAACTCTTCACGATACCTCGCAGGAACTGCTGGTTCTGTTTCGAAAAATAACATATGGTATAAAGTTGGAATCCCAGATAAGTATATCGATCTTCCTATATACTACGTAGTATACCTTATCTGATTTGTATTCGACACCTGCGATAACATCCGTGAGTCGATGAATTGGCTATGGGGGAGCACAGAAAGCGACGGAAGCGAGCAGTTGCCGATTGGTCTGTCCAAGCTGAACCGATCGGGTCGAAACATTCCCACGGATGAAGACGCGTCGGTGCATAAGGACGCAGGGAATGCGTGCTTTAATCGCAAGGACTACGAAGGCGCGGTGTATCATTACACAAAAGGTCTAGTGGAGAAACCGACGGCCACGCTCTTCAGCAATCGATCGGCGGCGTTCTGCGAGCTAGGCCAGTTCCACAAAGCGTTAGCCGACGCCGAGCAAGCAGAAAAGCTGGATCCCATGTGGGCCAAAGTGTTTTCGCGCAAAGGCAAGGCCGACTACGGTCTGAAGCAGTACAAGCGAGCGGCTGACGACTTTGCCAGAGGCCTGTCCTTGAGCATGCAGTTCGCAGCTGAGGAAAGCGTGAAGCGCGACAAGGAGATCGAAGCGTTGACGCGGCAATCCAGCAACCACACCGAAGCGTACTTGAAGCTCTTGGACGAGAACGCCCAACTGCGCCGCCAAATCGACGACTACAGACTCATGTTTGACGACTGGGCCAAAAAGCAAATGTAGTCTAACACGAACTCGATGTTGATGCCGTTTGTTGGTGCGGACATTTCGCAAGGGTAGGGGTGTCAAGTTATTGAGCTATGGAATGCTACGGTATATCCTAATGGATACAATTGAAGTCAAGTTTGATGTGTGGAATGGTCATAATGGCAGGTCTATCGTATACACATGCTGCGTTTGGTTAAGGAGAACTCAGCTCTGGTGTAGTCTCGCGCCCGTGGCTAGAGCAACTTGGCATCATGCTCAATACATAGCTCGACATGGTCATGGCTCTGGTGAGCAACTTGACCGCTGCTCCCACGTCCTTCCGATGCCTTGCGCGCATTGCTGTGTTGCCAACCTCGACGCATCCATCGCCACCATCTCATCTTAACTTTCGTCTACATGCATGGAGCTGTGTGTCCACATGTTGTCCAGCTGCCCATTCGCTCCAACACCATCCTGAGCGTTGGGTTGCCACAAGTACCTCCAAACATACACCTTTAATGATCACAACATGATCATGACGTCTCCAAGGTTCATGGAAGATGGCCATCTCGGCGTCATCATGATCATGGTGGAGCTTCTGCTTCAAGTGGCACTTTCGCACCATCCAACTGAGTACCAGACTCATTGATGGATGCATCGAACGCCTAGTCCAGCTCGTGCTTAACAAGTTCTGTACTCCCTTCCTTCATTTATTGTTCGTCTCCTCATCCCTGAATACTAGGATCATCTTAGAGCTGCCCACGCGACTACATGTACTACGCGACGGTGAATCCATTGCTGCTGGTCCAGTTGCTGCGCATCCCTGCAGTAATATGTCGGCCGCTGGACGACGTCTGGCTGAATGCAAGCTCCTCGGCACCCCAGTGCCAAGTCCAATGTAATCAACGCGGTTCCGTTGGAGCGCATCGTCATCTCGAAGCAGCTCCAATCCTACCCCGGTTCATCTAGCCCAGTATTCCACGGCACAACTGCCTCAACGGTCTGAACCGTCTCGTGTGACTTGGGTGGCCATCCGCCAACTCGAGGACAACAGCGTCCGCCGCAGCACCGCCTTGGACCTGCTCTTCCCCATATGAGTGAGACCACTTTGAGATCGTCGAGTTGACGAAAGTTGGCTTTGGGAAGTCAGCGGCCTCATTTTCTTCACATAGTCCCGAGAGGAGAGCATCATGTGCTGTGTGCGACCAAGTCGACGCCGCCTTGTCGGAATAGTACGAGGACCTGCTGCGACACCCCAAGTCAAATGGTGCCTCCCCTTGCAACTTAAGAGTATTGTACTACGTAGTAATACTATACGAATAGTAAGTTATAGACTAATAATGCATCGGTATTCAGTTGTAAAAGTACATATAGGATTATTCGCACAAACTATTAGTACTATAATAACTATTAGTACTTGAATGCTACAATTAGGGTTTGTGTGCATCGTTCCACAGTCAATTTAGCGTTTTACATATTATATCAGCATTTCTACAGTAGCCTTCGTTGGTAACCAAACACGATATGACAACTGAAATCCCTTGGTTGTTAAGAATTATCGTGTTAATAGACGCTACCCTTCATATTGGTTAGACGGACAAGAAGCAGTTGGTGCTGCCACCGACTCCGTCCAGGCAGCACCTCTGGAGCACCACGCCCGCCACGACCGTGACCGAGCACAGCACCATCGTGGTCGTGTTGATCAGGAGCTCGTTGCCGACAATGTACACACCCACGACAAACGGCACGACCATCGCAACCGTCAGCCGTGCATCCGAGAGGCCGACTAAAATAAAACCATTATCACCACAATGTATATATATATATATATATATATATGAAATGTACCTTTATAAGGACGGTCGATTTCAGGGTGCGTGTAGCGCAGGCGGACCGCGGCGCAGATCTCCACGACACTCGACAGCGCCGAGCAAAAGTTGTCGACGCCCAAAATCGTGTCGAAATCAAACAAGCACATAAACACGATGATCGCAAACGACAAGAAAATCGACCGGCGCGGCGTGCCCGAGCTCGTGTCGCGGCTACAATGTCAATATATATACAGTCACACCTCCCATACAATATATATATATATGGGTGATTGTTCAATAGGTGATGAACAATATATGTGTGATGGTCGTACACGGCAAAGAACGACGGCGCCAGGCCCGAGTCGGCCATCCCCGCCAGTTGGAAGCCATCTTTGGTCATTTCGGCCATGTAAAGCCCCAAGTTGCCAAAGAAGTTGGACACGACCACCCACCCACACAGCCACATGCCGCCCACGCCCAGCGCAATCGACGTGTACGATCCATCGACCCATGTCGCATAGTGGGGCTTGTCCACGCCCGTGATGGCCACAAACGGGATCAAGTACCTACACACATATTGTGAATTCAACATTCGCCTGGTTTGTCTACTCAATATTGAATCACGCCGGAGTGCTGATTGGTTGAATATACTTATCCTTTCGAGCCAATCAAATCCACTCAAAAAAGGATTAGCCAATAGCGTCGATTCGTGATTCGATCGGCGGTGAGATACTCGACGGGGTCTGGAATTTCGTACCGACCGAATCCACAATACAGATTACGTCTAAAATAAATGGAGAACAAACAACGAAACTCCGTTTTTCCCATATGGGGGACTTTGCGTAGAATTGGAATAAAGTGGATAAATGTATGTAGAGGATGTTCTAGCCAATCAAACTTCAAGAAGACGAGAAATTTCAACCAATCGTCGATTCGTATTGGGTTTTGGCCCAGTACCAGTTAAAACTGTAGTTCATATTCTTCAAATGTGAATGTATCCACATAGGATACCCTTGCACATCGTACAAACAATCGATCCATGTATTTGGCGAATATCAAGCAGTACACACAAGTCCAACCAGAATAGGAGGAACCTATTAAGATCAACCACATTAGCGTACGTACGTGAGGGCAATGAGGATCACCGTGAGCACCATCGCGCGGGGATACGTCCGCTTCGGGTCGACGATTTCACCCGCGTAGGCGCCAGCGGCGTCGAACCCGCTGTAGTTCCAGTACAAGACGCTGATCAAGTTGACCCAGTTGCGCTACATTCCAATAACAACAGATATTGGAATTATGTACCAAGTGTATACGATATATATTTTCACACACGTACGTCTTCGCTGACGACGAGCCAGTTGGACGGATTCACTTGAGGGATGGCCACGACGACCAGGACCACGAACGGCATGGCGACGATGATGGCCAGCACGAGCATCGTGCGGCCCACGATCTTGATGCTGAAGAGCGTGGGCACCATGAAGAGAATGGCGATGCTGACGCGAGCCGCGAATTTGACCCCGAACGCTGTGTTTTCGTTGCTGATGTCTTGTACGCCCAGGATGCCGCCGGACGTGATGGAGATGATCGAGTCGACGATCAAGCAAGGATAGATGGCGTTGTCGATGACCCCGCCGACCCAGGACCAGTAGCCGACGTGGAACCCCATGGGGCGACCGAACGCTAGTCCTACCCATGTGCAAAAGCTGCTGTCGGTCGGGAACGCGCTAAAGAGTTCGGCAAACAAAAGCGCGGTGGGTAGGCACCAGATCCAGGGAAAGATGGACACGGCAAGGATGCCGATCAACGGGCCGCATGACGAGATGATCGGTTCACTTCCCCATGGTCCCCCACTCACGTTAAAGTACGTGATCATCGCTACCGGCAGCACGCCCAGCTGTCGACGACCGATCGACGGCTTCCGAGGCCGCTTCAGGATGGGCTCGCGTTCACGAGACGTAGCAGTATCGGCCATGAACGTAAGGGCTGAATGACGTACAGACGTGGGATGGGATCGACCTGTGTTGTAGGCTACGGCGGCGGTGGCGGCGCGCAGTCAACAGAGCAGCAAGCAGCGACCAAAGATCAACGTAGAATCAATCCACAACTCGCCGTGGCAAAACCAGACAAGTCGAAGTTTGGCGCCAACTTCGATATGAGCACCCCTATCGCGATCGAAGGACGGCAAAATTCGAAGTATGCCGAGGGCAATTGAAATGTATTTCACACTCTCACTTGCATTCAGTATTGAAATTGTTTTTACTTTTTATAATTGTACGAGACCAGCATTCTTGTATCATTGAAGACCCTCGACCAATTGAACGTCCGCCGAACCCAACCTCGGAATCATCCACCAGCAGGTACTGTACAAATGGCCTTCTCCATGGAGCATGCAGAAGAATGTTCACGAGGATGCCATGACAGGTCGAAGGATGTCCATGATGACCATGTTGCACTTTGACGTTGGTTGGCTGCTTGTGCCTGCAATTGCGACGGCCTTACTCCTCCCGTTCTTCTATGTGTTTGCGACCTGGGACCACGACACGTTTCGACAGTACGTCTCGTGGTAGTACACAGTAATATCCTCAAGTGATTCGTGTGTCTGTAGGTACCCCCTATTGCCAGGCCCGTTGGACTGGGGGTCGAAAGAGTTCATGTTCCGTTGCTGGCTGTCCAAGTTCATCCGCGTGGGCTGGTCGTCCAGGGACAAATTACTTGCGCCGTGCCCACGCATTGCGCTGCAGACCAAGTTCACCATCCTCGACACCGAAATCGCCAACGTCAAGGCCTCTCTCGGCATGCTGTCGGCCCCAGAGTCCATCTCGGCTGTGCCGTTGTTCTTTCCACAGGTATGTACAAAGCCCAACATCTCAACACGAAACGAGATTGAGCTACTCAATGCAAGATCCTGTGCGGGTACTTGCTGGTGCAACTGCTGGGAAACTCCAATTTCCCCTGCCCCGTGCACTCGTTAACATGGAAGCGCGTGCATGTGACCCAACTCCGTCGCATCAGCGTAGACGAAGAGCTGAACGTAATCGTCCTCCTATCTGCCACACTTCTCTCCCTCTCTCCAACATAGCTGACTGTCGGTCCTGTAGTGCTTGATGGTTCTCATCGGCAAGAAGATCACGAGCGACGGCGTCGAGTTTACCGTCCAGACCGACTTGTTCGATGATGTGGGGGTCGTGTGGCAGTCGTCGCTGTACTTCGTCGCGCCGTACGCGGTCACGTCCGCGATCCCCGTCGCGCCGCCGTCCAATCCCGTGGACGTTGACATCATGCGCTCCACTGACGAAAGCAACATTACCATCGGTTTGGCGTGTTCCCAGGAGCGTCTGGCAGAATTCGATCTGGTAGATATACTGCTAAAGAATGACGATAATATGGTGCCACAACCAGGGCGGCGCCGTGGACATTGAACGGTTGAATGGGTGGTGGAGTCCGTCGACTCCCAAGGTGACGCCGCTGTGGCTGCTTGCAGCGGCGTCGTCGGCCATCGAAAAGCAAGGTAGGACTTTGATGAAGGTTGGACTTGCTTCTCATGTGACTGTACAGGTCTCGAGATCGTGTTTCCCGTCATGTGCCACGCACAAGCCAACGGACCGACCCAGAATGTCCCACCGACGTCCGACGACTTGACCTGTGAAGTGGCGGCAAAGACTGAGGACGGCAGCACGAAGCTCATCACGTTCAATGTGTCGACCTCGAACCGCCCTGCTCTAGTCTCTGGTTACCTCCGCTCTGTCGGATGGAAGTACGTCGTGGCGGACGACGAGCGGCACGATGACACCTCGGAATTGACAATCTGATGATTGTTCGTTCCTTCACAGTTTCACACAGTTTAAAAAGTACCAAACCATACAAAAAACAAATACAAAGTTCGATCGATTTGATGGGATGATTGGACTGGAATATTCCCATTTAAGTCGAATAAATTTTCCGACATACCAGGACAATTCTACAGACTATGTAAGTAGAATAGCCCAGGGCTCAAGGAAGTAAATATCACGAATAGAATATTGCTTTGAAGCGTATCGCCCACACAAGAGTGTTGATACTTTCTTATGCCTCACTATAAATAGTGTAGCGTCTGCTGTCGTTGCTTGTCGTCGTGATAGACCAAATGTCGAGTTGAAGGATATATCCTAAATATATATTCGTCCAAGTTTGGGAAGTTTCCCTTTGAAGCCCAATCGTTTTTTATTGTCTTGCCAGCTGTATGCGGATTATTTTGAAGATTACTGTAATATCTTGATAAGTTCCTGTGAGTCCAAGATTTTTTCACGGCCCAAGACCGACTCTTCCGACGAGGATCTCAGTGATAAGGAACCCATCGTCCGAACGCATGCAGTCCAACAACATCGCATCGTTGGATGTCGTCAGGGCTGCTAATGTCCAAGAAGATCCTGACCTGGAACAATCCGAATCGCAAGCCGATGGCGGGTCCTACGCCATGATGTCGAGTCCATCTGCAAGCAGCCTGCGCGTTCGACCACCGTCGCGAGGATTTGCTACTGGCGGGTCCAACCATCGTGCCAAACGATCAGGTAAGTCCTCCGCCTCCCCTTCACCCATTCATATGCAACAACTCGTTCCATAGGCAATAGCTCCAACTCGTCGTCGTTTGGACCTTCGAAAGAACGCGGTGGTGGACCTGTCGTGACTGAACTCCAGGACTGCATCATGTATTCAGGTCATGGTGGTGCGGGGTTTTCTTCGGAGAAAGGCGACAAAGATACCAAGGACACGCTTCGTGCGTCGTACCATGACCTCAGTGTGCCCACCGTCACAATCCCCGAGACGCAACGGTGCGATGCTCTTGCTAGCTAGGCTCGTCTAACAAGCTCTCGTCGTTTTGCGTACAGGTACACGTTCGCGATTGTGCTGCGGAATCGGTACCAGGTCAAGGACATCTTGCGCGAGCGCTTTCCCGGAAAGGCCATGAAGGCGACGCGGCACCGCTTAGCCGACCAGGTGGCCGCCATGCATTTGAAGTGCTTGCGCCGGCTCGTCCAAGCCGGCCTCGGCGTCATCTTGCTCGACAACGACAACAGCATCCCCCACGAGAATCAAAAGTACAACCAGACCAACAACATCTGCGTCCTCATCGATCCGTACAAGGTATCATAGAGTCATATTTAGCATCATGTCGGAATCCACACTAACTTAATCGAATCCCGCGCTGCTTCTTTCATAGTACTTAGAGTTAGTATTGTGCAATTTCTATGAAAGTTGCCAATTTGGGGGGATTACCTAATCGACCAAAGGAGGAGTATGATTGGCTACAAAGAATGAAGATTGCAATATGATTGGCTAAAAATATTGATTCATGCATTGCAGTTTCAAAGATACCCCTTGAACTTAGTTTTAAATGAAATTTCAAAGGTCTGGCGATTGTTCGGCGGTTCATTCAACGAACCGCCAACGGAGCAAATTACAACATATTGGTAATTCGATTTCCCAGTCAAATTGGACTGGGGCTGCCAATCGCAAAATCGACGAAGAAATCGACGGACGAAAGTAGCCAATGAAATTATCCAAGCAAAATTGCTGACCAATCAAATTGCGTGATATTTGCCCCACTTTTCCATTTCACAATGAGAACACGAGTTGGGAATTGTATGGTATACTTCGTTGAAGTAAAAAAGACGATTTGACGAATCTACCGAAAATATCAAATTTAGCTTGAAAGCACAATACAATACAATACTAAATAAATATAAAGCCAATACAATACAATACTAAATATATGTCGATCACATATCTTGACCAGACTTGGTATATTTTGACTCGTGTGTTTCCATACCATAGGACAGCGACTTGCTCCTCCAAGAGTTCAAGCGGGAAAAGGACGAACTGGCGATCAAGAGAGGCCAAGCGAACGCGCGATTGGGCATGGACACGATCGAAAGCGTGAAAAATATTTGCTTTTCCCCGGCGCTTGAGCTCCAACTGACGCACAACATTATCCACAACGCGTTTCGCGACTGCGACAAGGACGACTGGGTACGTACTGTTTTTATGCCCTTACTTCTTGTTTCATTCTAAATTGGTCATCTTGTACGCTTTGGTATGGCAGGTTTTGTATACGAATTCTAATGCATCGCTTATATAACGGTATAGGATAAGAATCCACGATCGATTCTCTGTTGATCGTATGTATATATATATATAGACTTGGGAGAGCTGTATTACATGTTGCATCCGATACAGACCCTGGCCTAAAGATTTTTTATAATAAACTCGAAAATAGTTTTTTTTATATTTCATAATTTAAAAAAACTTCATTTTTTATTTGTTCCCTTGATCGATCGTGATTGGTTGAACCATGCATTTGCTGGACGCGGATTGGCTAAATCAGATGGCGACTCGACTGTTTCGACTGAACACAACAATATGTATATATATTGAAATTTTATCACCTTATCTGATGAATATTTGTGTAGGGCATCGAACACCAGCAAGAGCTGACGTGCTGGGACGTGGTGGACACGTGCTTTCCGCTACACGACCGCGTATTCAACAACGCGTTCTTTGCAGAGTACCGCAACAAAACGTTCGACTTTCGCGTGAGCAAGGCCACCACGGGCAACTCTGAGCGATGGGCTATCGAAGGTATATATATATATATATGCTTGATATGACAATGTTGGACCAGTCGATTATATATATATATAAGACAAGGTTGGGGGCGACTGAGATGGTGTTGTGGTGGATAGAATTGCGGCTGCATTTCGGCGAACGCGTGGCCTTCTTGTTTGCTTTCATGCACATTTACAGCAAAATGCTGGGGCCGCTCACGGTCGTGTGCGTGCTCTACTATGTCGGATTCCGGTACTGTACTATTTGCAATATATATATTGTGCTCTCTGCCAAAATTGGAATATAATCATTTGTGCTGATTTTTTACATCCATCGGTCGGTTAATATTTGTACTGACTTTTGTATGTGAAATTGTAAGCCATTCCCCGAATGTCAAGCCATATTTTCATTCTGATGTTTGCCCGAGTTGGATTGGTATCATGTCAAAATGTGTGATATTTATTTACTAGTACCTTAAATATCTATTAAAAGTATGTATAGTTCAAATCCTAAATTTTGGCGGTCAAAAAGTACATATCTGTCGAGTTGGTTTTGTGCGTTTATATTCGATAAACAGCCTCCAAAGTGGATACAAGAATCGTAGTAGTCTATGAAATATCATTCCATATTTCGTGTATTGAATCCCATCCATAGGATGTAGTATATCTTTAAACAAATAAACAAATGAATATATATATATATATATACTCACTCGACAGTGTTTTTCGGGACTAGTTTTGTACAGGGGTATGTGTGGAACTACTATTTGCTGGGACTGGCGGTGCTTGGGTTTGGCGTCGTGAGCTTGTGGGCGCCTGCGATGCTGCTCGTGTGGGAGCGCGAGACGCGAACGTTGACGGAGAAGTGGAACCTGCAAAACTACAAGGACACGATCTTCGAAAGGAACGACGAGAACCCCAAGTTTGAGTACGTCTGGGCCAAGAACGAGCTCACCCACGAGATGGAAAAGCAGCCCAAGAAGTCCAAGAAGCGCCTGATCCGAGTCACGATGCTCTTCTTCGTCGCGCTCAGTTCGATCGTGCAGTGTATCATCCTCATGCCGTTCCTCCAGGTGAGATCGATGGGATGTTGAACGATGTCGCATGTGTATTTGTAGTGGTACGTGTGGTCCAAGTTGGCGCCTACGTGCGACAGCGACCGATGCAAAGAGATTGGGTGCCTCCAGTTCCTCAACTGTTTTGCATCGGCCACGTCCACAGTGGGCACGGATCGCTGGGCGTACATTCTGTGCCAGGTATAAGCCAAAAAAGTGGACGTTTGTACGAATGTGCCAAATCCAAAATTGATCATTATATTTAATACTGAATTATCACACTAATTGATGAATTATCACACTAAGTCACACACGAATGAGTTGTTTTGATTGGTGGACGTGATGATGGTTTCTTGCAATGTGATTGGCTAAATTATTCTGCCGAGTTTTCTGTACATGGTTTGGTTGTGTGTCGATAATACATACATTTACCACGTTGCTCCAAGTTTGAATATAAACACAACCATACGGACTTGAATTCATGTTGACGTTTGAATACTGTACCTGTGGACGAGTCCCATCACACTAATTGGTGTCGTCGTACACCAATTGCAGGATGTTGAGTGGGCTAATCGACAATACCGAATTTGCGACATACGTACATACAATACGAAGAATCATTTACTGGTTCATAGAGTATATACATACTCCTTGTGGGATTCTGACCTATGTACAACTGGGTTTTAGATTTCTCATCCCCAATATATATATATATATACTTCGAAGTATGTATATACGTTTGCATGGCGTGTATATGTATTTAAATGTATTTGTAATATTGTCCATTTACTCAAAATGTGGACGTGTGTGCTGATAATTCGCCAAATCTATCGATCAATTCTTTGTATTGACTTTTCTATGTAAAAATCGTCCAGTGTCACACTAATTAAAAGTCACACACTAATTCGATGTTGCATTGGTCGAAGAGTGGATTTGATTGGCTACTTGATTAGTATTCTGGGTTTTGATTGGTCAATCGATTGTCTGCCGATTTGGTGCTGCGCATGGAGCACCCCACTCACTCCAATTTCGAATCGAATATCTTGACAATATATGTTTGAGAAATGAATCCTAACAAGACATTTATATATATATATTTGTAGGGCGTGATCTTGGGGTTGTTGATCGACACGGTGTTTTACGAGTTTTTCAATTGGTTTTCGTCCAAGTTTGTGCAATGGGAAAACATCCGCAAGAAATCCGACTACGAAAACCGTACGAATTCATCCATCTATATATATATATATATATATATATTCAACTATGATAATTCCATGTAGGGCTAATCCACCGCAAGTTTGTGTTTGTGTGGAGCAACTGGTTCTTCTGGTTCCTGACACTGGCGTTCCTGTACCTGCCCTACGGCGGCCGTGTCCAGGACGTGTATCGGTTCCTTGGGATGGAGTGGGCAATCGTGTACAAGTGGAACCCGACGCTGCTGACACTCGACACGCTCTTTGTGACCCCGCTGGTCGTCACGCAGCTGCTCAATATGGTGCTCGAGACGTGGCTGCCGTACGCCATTCGCGTCGTGAAAGGCAAGCCCATGAGCTGCCGCAACTGGACTTCTACGTGGATGGCCAGCTTTGACGTACGATCGATCCGATTCAACCATGCATATCTGTTGGGGATTGTTGTGAATATATATATATATATATATATCGCAGCCACATATCAACCATATATATATATATATATATATGGTTGATATGAGGCTGCGACTGAATCAAGTACATTGGATCGATGAATGAATGGGGGCTTCGTTGTGAGTTTTACTTGTATGTACAATATGTACGTAGAGGAGCGGATATGTCTGTTTGTAGTTGGTGGACCTGGTTATCACACGTTGTGGTTAGAGATATATTGGTGATTTTATATACTATATATGTTGCATTGGTTGGTAGTGACGGATATATATATATATATTGCATTTCGCATGGGTATTGTCGTTGTAGGTATTGGTTGTGTTTTGATATGTATCATCGGTTGTGTACGTGTTATATTATTTTTTATTGTACATGTATGTAGTATATATTGCGTTGTTCTATGTGTATAATATATGAACATGTCGTGTTGAATATGAATATGTATATTAGTGCATCAAGCGACGAAAGGCCCGGAAGCGCAAGCATCGCATGGACACCAACATGGCGGCGCACAAGCTGGCGGACGACGTCTCCCGCACCACGCGCTTCTTCGTGCCCGTCTTGGGCTACTCGGACGACTCGAACGAGTACACGGCGTACCAGGTTCATATATATATAAATATATTCACATAATTATATATTTTTGTTTGTGTAGATATTGGCCGAGTCGAAGCTGCCTATTTTTGACACGAGCTCCGACTACTTGGACGCGTGCATTCAGTTTTCGTATATCCTCATGTTCACCGTGGTATGGCCGCTGCTGCCGTTCCCAGCCTTTTGCAACAACGTGTTGGAGGTACTAACTAGTATCCTTCTTCGCTCTTGCCAAAATACTTTTCAATCCATACATATCAACAACCTGCATATGATTGGGTTATGATCGTCCTTATGGATATATATATATTAACGTGCATAATGGGGTAGGTTCGAGGTGACGCATTTCGGTTGCTGTTTGGCCACCGTCGGCCCATGCCCCGCCGCGATGTACGTTTCATTTTATATTATGAATCCATGTATGACGGTGTCACAGGTATCGATTGGCGAGTGGGCGACCGTGCTGCATTACGCCAACGTGATGGCCATCACAATCGTGTCGGCGCTCCTCGTCATGTATGTGTAAATTTATCTCCATAGTTTGGTATCTCGTTGGTGTTCTAAATCGATCGACGGTGTTATAAATCTAAATGTTGTTACGTTATACTGAATTGTCCAGTCATATTGACCATCACACTATTTTTGTTTGTCATACACCAATTGCATGTTGATTTGTGCTTTTCTGCAAATTCGGCTCTTCTTGCCATTGTTGGTTTGGCCTGTACAAAGACTATTGTTGATATTTGTCCAGCCAATCGATTTTTGATATGCGACTAAGGGTACATCTGTAGTACAAAATGGGTTAACCAAAAATATACATTTTCAAATATATATATATATTTATGATTTGGAGTGAATTCCACACTAATGGCATTTGGGGCCAATATATAGTACGATTTCAGGTTTTATCAGTCGCCCCCTAATGTATCATCTCACAATAACGTGGATAACTAACATAACTGGGTGGTGGTAGGTACCACTTTGGAGCGTACGCGAGTCTGAACGATGGCAATTACTGCGACTTTATGTTTGCAGATGCGTCCATGGTGCCGTTCCAAAGCATCGACTTCCGCGTCGCGCGGTCCAGCGCCAAGTGTCTAGGCATGCGGGACCAACCATGGTTCAAGCACCAAGTGCTCATCTTCATTGCGTTGGAGCACATTGGGTTTGGCTTTCGGTATCGCCAACTAGTAGTACCATTAGTACTAATACCAGGATTAGGTACCTCGTGCTGCAAATGGACAAGACGCCAACGTCGATTTCCAACCCGTCGTACCTTCGTCTCAAGCAAATCCGCGAGCTAACGTCTCAGCGCACGGCGCACTCTGGCGTGTTCAATTACATTGGCGAACTTCGGCTGATATTTGACAAGTACGACGTTGATCGGACCGACCACCTCGGCGAGCGTGACCTGGTGCTGTTTCTGGCCGAGTGGATGTCGAAGGACCCGGCGGAGCTGCAGAAACGGTCGAGTCTCGTGTTTCGATACATGGACAAGAACAAGGTGGGCAAAGTGCCCTTCTCCACGTGCTGTCTCATGCTCCAACATGCGCATCTGGACCGGTTCTTCTCGGCGCTGCTCGGTATTTACGACCACTTGGACGACCATCGCAATGTACGTACACTCTGTACGACCATCATTCCGACACACCCTCTTGTGATTATAGCAAGAAGTGCGATTGAACTGCGATGATCCAATGCGCATTCGACGGGTGCTGCGGGCGCAGTCGCTCGAAGACCACCACCGCGTACGGGAAATCCGATGCCGAATATTCATATGATATATATCTAATTGCCGAATATTCATATATATCTCAATAGGAAAACCACCCAACCCACGACGATAGTAGTAATATTCGTTTGACCCCCATGGCCGTCGCCAGCATCTAGCCTACCCAACCCTATCCAAGTGGCTGCATTTGAATATATATATATATATCATATACTTGAAGTATATTATATGCGTGCATGTTCTACAGTACTACTACTGTACTGTACATACAGTATAGCATGCTATGCTACAACATACTAGTTAGTGTCAGCGCTATCAATGCAACGAATGGAAAGTAGAGTAGTTCTCACGTTACTGCATACTATTAGTACTCGACAGCACCGCATAACTAGATACTGACAAGTCTATAGAATACTACACCTTTTCCCGATCAAAGTGCCACTTTATTCCAATCAAAGTGGTTTGGATAAAAAATATATATTTTAACAAGGTTTCCAAAGTGGATAATTTCGGATCAATGTGGTTTTTCTTCCAATCAAAGTGGTCAGATTAAGCGCGAGGAAAGGTGCCAACTTTCAAGGCAAGAAGGTGGTAATTGTGCTCGACAACGCACCTGCACACTCACAAACCGAGCAGCGAGTTCAGCCGCACGAGGACTTGGTACTTCTGCGCCTTGGGCCGTACTCTCCAATGTTGAACCCTATTGAAAGTTGTTTTAGCGTTCTGAAGGCCCACATCAAGAGATTTCTTGCCTCGCGCACGAACCTGCTGTTTGAGAGCAGGGAGTTCAATTCCTTC